CCGACACACACACACACACCTTCGCTTGTCAACCCCCCCTAACAAAAATAAAAAAAATTATGAACAAATTTTTCCCTGCTAGAACTTAATACGGCAAAATTGATTAAATTCGTAACATACTTTCTTAATTTCCCCTTAACATTCCTTCTCCTCTATTCCTTTTAATACTCATTTATCAAAATTTTATCTTATCTCTTATTCTCTATTCTTTCAATTTTCACCTCCACCTCTTCTCTTCAATCATCTATCTTCACGCTCTTTATTTCCACTTCTTTTTCTTATTCCTTCACTCCTCTTCACCCTCATTATCTTCATCTTCTCCGTCTCCATCTTCATCATGTTCCCCATCTCCACTTTCTATTAGACGCATCAAAACAGTCATTTCGTACGATGGCCAAGTTAATGAAAATATCGTAGCTATAGTTTATAATATTGCAAGTAAAGTTAATGGAATTGCAGATCGAGTTAACGATATTGGAAGCTGAGTTAGTGATATTGTAGGCTGAGTTAGTGATATTGTAGACTGAGATAGTGGTTTTCCCTCATTACTGTAAAATGTAGTGGGTTTTGGGGAGATGGTGGTGGTGAAGGTAGTGTGGGAAGGACTTGGTAGGATGTGGAAATGTGGTAATGAATTTTATGTGAGTTTTGGTGATCCTGAGAGAGAGAGAGAGAGAGAGAGAGAGAGAGAGAGAGAGAGAGAGGAACTGGGAAGGCGCAGCAAGAGCGGGATGAGAGGGCCCTCCCCGAGTCCCCCCCCATGACTAGTCAGTGTTGTTGGAGACACCGGCGGGGGAGGGCACGTCTCTCTCACTCTTGTTCCCGGCGGCTGTCTGCTGAATCCTCTGGGTTTGGGGGGGTCAGAAATTGGCTATGGTGAATCTGGTGTGGTGTGGGGGTCAGTCGAGGTGGTGAGAGAGAGAGAGGCTGTGTCGACGGTGCTGAGTGAACGGGGGAAGGGAAAGAGAGGAAAAAAAAAATATTGAGTTTGTGGAGGTGACTTAGAAAAAAAAAATATATTTGTTCCACGATGAAGTTAAGGTTTGTGAGACACCTGGTGATACAGACATGCTTCGCGGCCGCCCTCGTCGTCGCGGGTGAGTTTCTCTGAATATTTTCCCACACTATATTTTTTCATCCCATTTTATTTCAGCATCATTAACCCGTTATCTCCCAGGCATGATTCTCCTTAACTCTTATATAGTACAAGTACAGGAGATATCCAGCCAAGGAGTTTGTTGAGAATCTATGGCATATTATATTGGTTTGTTTTGGCCATGTTTTAAGGTGTGTCCTGAGGTATAAACACGTTAAGTCTCCGCGGTGCCTCAGCGTTGTCTGTCGTGTGATCACATTTGTAGGACACGCACACACACACACACACACAGTCCACCATCCTTTATTAACACAGGATCGTCACTCCGACAAAACTGGAAACGAAAAAATTCTAGTGTTTTTATTTCGAGATTTAAAAATATTAAGATGTTTCAACAACTCAGGATTATTCAGGCTTTTTACCCAATGATCTTGAAAATATTAAGGAATATTTATCAATAACATAAACAATATTTCAGATATTTTATGCCGTCTGTCGATAACATTAGAAATAGTCACGTGTTTAATATCGATATCATATACAAATATTCGGGAGTGTTTTAATTTCTCCAAATCTGAAAAAAAGTTCTTGGATTTGTAATTTCGCTAATGCTCCTCTCATCATTTTTTTCTCACCAAAGTTAACTGAGTTTATTTGTCCACATATTCTTGCTGTTTATTTTTTTATTATTTATTTTTTCCAGTTTGCCTTTATCTTATTTTCTCTACTTGTTGTCATACACTACTTTTTTCTCCATTATATTTTCATACCATTCGTTAATTTTCTTTCGCTCTTGGGACAGTCATTTTCTATGCATGGCGAATATTCGAATTAGCGGACACTCATGCAGAACTTAAATACTTGAATATACATGATTACAAGAGTTCGTTTTTTGTGATTTCTCTATGTAATTTTTTTTTATTATTTACGTCCTCTGTAGTTTATTAATGAAAAACACCTACTTCAGTTTTTTTTTTGGGGGGGGGGGGGTTAATTTCGCATGATTTAAGTGTCAAACAATAAACCAATAATTAATCCAGTCACCGGTAGTTTATTGATAAGTCATTGTTATATATTGTTGAATTACCTGGAATTTACTGGTGATATACAGATATTTGTTGAGTTCGCAATTTTCTCGTAGCCTGCTCGTTATTTTTCCGGATTTACGTTGGATAATTTATTTTTCTCGTGGTTGATCGGTGATTGATCTGCAGTGTGTTAATGGATTCACCGGGAATTTGCTTTGACTTATAAAATTTACCGGAGATTTACACGTAGTCTACCGGTGATTTATCCCTAATTTATCGGCGATATTTTGCAATTTTTGAGGTGATTATTCAGGATTACAGACAGACACACACACACACACACACACACACACACACACACACACACACACACACATACACACATACACACACACACACACACACACACACACACACACACACACACACACACACACACACACTCGGGAAATAATTTAAGTGTTGAAATTTGTCGGGGAGTTTTTTTTTAGGGAAGATCCTCTGAACTTAGGGGGACCTTCGGGGAAACTGGAGAGAACCCCGAAACTACGAGAAACATCAAGAAGAAACTGAAACTATGGAAGAGGCACAATGAAACTGGAAATTTCGTTGAAGGAGCCTTAAACGGAGGAAAATTCGATCCGGTTCTGTATAATTTCGAAAATTTTTGGGAATGAAAACAAATCTTGAAAATGTTAGGAAATCACCGAAAACTTCGAAATTAAGAGAAAATACAAAAACCCCTTTAATGGGAAGTTTTGTGATATACGAAGATTTTTGAGAATTTTACGCTATTATCGGCATTTCATGTGGTATCGGCTCACTGTATCATCCTTTGTTATCGGTTTCTTACATCGTGATTTGGTACCAGTTAAATAATGTCGTTGTTTGGTTCTATTCTAAGTCAATCATTATTAAAAGTTTATTATATTGTTTTACGTTAAATCGATTCCTTGTGTTGTCCTCTACAGATAAGTCCATCCTTAAACAGATTGTTTTAAAGAGGTGTAGACGATTTGTAGACAACAGCGACCTGATTATGGAGTTAAGTCAACATCCATATGTAAAGAGAGACAGAAGCCTAATCGTGCTAGCTCGTTTGGTACTTATCAAGATGTTTTATTTTATTTAATGAATCAACGTTTTTATGATTTACTAATACCAAGGATGTATTGAAAGCTTTAAACACTTAAGAGAGGTTTTAAGAAGGTTGTACACTCACTGATAATTGATGCTGTGGGGGGTGTGAACGGAGACCGGTAAGTGGTGCCACCTGGGAGCTGAGCGCCTCACTACCACACCACGCCACTGCTCCTCTGGCTGGTGCCACGTTGCTTGCTGTTCCAACTCTCCACATGTTTTGTTTCGATATTCATGTGTATGTGTGTGTGTGTGTGTGTGTGTGTGTGTGTGTGTGTGTGTGTGTGTGTGTGTGTGTGTGCAAAATAAAGATAACCAATACTGTCTGTAGATAATCATATTTCAGTTAATAAATGAATACGTCATTACTAACCTAACTTTATTTTATCTATTGTAATTTAGATATAGTATGTTTTATTTTATTAAAGTAAACAAGGTCTTAAACGAGGCATAATAATTTTTTACCATATATCAATCTACAGGGAGAGAGGGAGGGAGGGAGAAAGGAGGGATGGAGAGGGGGGGGGAGGGATGGAGAGGGGGGGGGAGGGATGGATGGGGGGGAGGGATGGAGGGAGGGAGGGAGAGAGGGAGGGAGGGAGTACCTGATGATGATTATGTAGACTCCCGAAGAATGTTTACTGAGACTACGTTAAGAAGAAGCAGTATGGTCGCTGCATCCGGTCCCTCCCTCCCTCCCTCTCCACCTCACCACCTCTCTAATCCTCCTCTTTGCTTCACCCCCTCCCTAACCCTCCCACCCATCTATCTATCTATCTATCTATCTATCAGTCTAGGCATTTCCCGCTAAAGTCGCCACTTGACACACACACCCCCTAACGTACACCGATAACAACGCATCGCTCAGTCCTTTGTCCTTCGATACATAATAGATTGGATGTCTCTGTTTGGTGCTCCAGTCAGCTGAACCTAGATGGCGTAGGACCAACAATACGCACCACAGCTAACAGAGGAGTACGCACCACAGCTAACAGAGGAGTATGCACCACAGCTAACAAAGGAGTACGCACCACAGCTAACAGAGGAGGCACCACAGCTAACAAAGGAGTATGCACCACAGCTAACAGAGGAGTATGCACACAGCTAACAGAGGAGTACGCACAACAGCTAACAGAGGAGTACGCACCATAGCTAACAAAGAACCAGACGTATGCACCACAGTTAACAGAGGAGTATGCACCACAGCTAAGAGAAGTATGCACCACAGCTAACAGAGGAGCATGCACCACAGCTAACAGAGTACACCACAGCTAACAGAGGAGCACGCACCACAGCTAACAGAGGAGCATGCACCACAGCTAACAGGAGTATGCACCACAGCACAGAGGAGTACGCACCACAGCTAACAGAGGAGTATGCACCACAGCTAACAGAGGAGTACGCACAACAGCTAACAGAGGAGTACGCACTATAGCTAACAAAGAACCACGTGCACCACAGTTAACAGAGGAGTATGCACCAGCTATGCACCACAGCCAACAGAGGAGTATGCACCACAGCTAACAGAGGAGTATGCACCACAGCTAACAGAAGTATGCACCACAGCTAACAGGAGTACGCACAACAGCTAACAGAGGAGTACGCACCACAGCTAACAGAGTACGCACCACAGGTAACAGAGGAGTACGCACCACAGCTAACAAAGAACCAGAAGTATGCACCACAGCCAACAAAGAACCAGAAGTATGCACCACAGCTAACAAAGAACCAGAAGTATGCACCACAGCAACAGAGGAGTACGCATCACAGCTAACAGAGGAGCATGCATCACAGCTAACAAAGAACCAAAAGTATGCACCACAGCTAACAGAGGAGCTGCACCACAGCTAACAGAGAACCAGAAGTATGCACCACAGCTAAAAAAGAACCAGAAGTATGCACCACAGCTAACAGAAGAGCATGCACCACAGCTAACAGAGGAGTACGCAGCACAGCTAACAGAAGTACGCACCACAGCTAACAATGAACAGGAAGTACACATCACAGCTAACACAGAACCAGAAGTACGCACCACAGCTGACAGAGGAGTACACACCATAGCTAACAGAGTACGCACCACAGCTAACAAAGAACCAACAGTATGCACCACAGCCAGTAAAGAACCAGAAGTATGCACCACAGCTAACAAAGAACCAGAAGTAACCGCACCACAGCTAACAGAGGAGTACGCACCACAGCTAACAGAGGAGTACGCACCACAGCTAACAAAGGAGTACTCACCACCAAAGAACCAGAAGTACGCACCGCAGCTAACAGAGAAGTACACACAACAGCTAACAAAGAACCAGAAGTAGACACCACAGCTAGCACAACTAACCAGCATTACGCACCAAGAGAACAACTGACTTATACGAGGCTCCGTCAGCGCTCACAAAGAGGCATAGTCCCGCACCGCTCATGGGTAACAATGGAGCTGTCTGACTTGGTGCAGTTTTACGGTGAATTTCTCGTTCCCGGGAGCACGAGTTTGTCCCGCCAGATGAGCGTCTGTCTGAGCATCCTGATTTAGAGGCACTGGTCGGACTTCGAGCTTAATGCAAGAGTTTGAGAGATAACTTTGATACGAACAGATAGTGGAAGAGATGATTTACTTCGAGGGTTACCGGGTAGAAACGGCCGAAACTTGCTGAAATTCTGCGAGAGTAACTGAAACTGACCGAAATTACTGGTTTAGAGCTGTTTCTGTTTTGACTGAAGTAAGATACTGAAAGGTCATGACTCTTATTTAACATAACAGTGGTCATGACTCTTATTTAACATGACAGTGGAAAGTAATCATGGCCCCAGAAATTACTGCCCCGAACTCTCTGATTTGTGACTCTTGAGACACCGACTGGATTCAACTAAAAGTAATAATTAACTTTACTGTTGAAAAGGTAGTGACAAATGTTATCTCAGGGGTTAAGGCTGTCCTGACGGTCATTTTTATCTGTGGTGGTTATTGAAGAGGATGTTAGGCTCCCCGCTGAAGTAAGAAGTTCAGGGGTGACAACTGTGTTTGTGATGATGTAAAGGTCACGAGTCTCAGAGGCTACGGACGAGACTCCTGAGTTAAGAGACGCTGGCCGGGAGACTTTAAGAGATAATTTATATAGTGTGAGAGTGAACAAACATCATGGTCTCTTGAGTTACAGCTAAATCTGACTGAACTTGCAGATTTAGAAAGTTGGTAAAAATCTGTGTAATTCTCAGGTTATTTTTTTGTTCTGTTATATCTGTGATTTAGCTCAAGTGATCAAGTTAGGTGTGAAAAAATTTACGAGAAATAATTATCGTAAGGTCCTTTGTGTATCAGGATGTTGTGTCTTGTGAGAGTCCCCCCCTCCCTCTCCTCCTCCTCCCCCTCCTCCTCCCAACGATGCAGTGACTGAGGCCTCGGTAAGTTAAGGTATCACAAACTAACGTAAGTAGATACTGAAGATACAAGAGGTGTGCGATTCACTTTTAAGAGACACCTTTGAGGGAAAATTATAAACGTGAAGATTGGCTGGACGACTGTTTTATGGTGGCTTACATCAGAGATCTTGTGTGATTTGTTGGATGACTTCTGGCGAAACGGAGTGATTGGTTGGGGGTTGTCCTGTGAACCAATCAGAGTAGAAGTTGGTTGGAATTTCCCTTAGATTGGCTGAATGTTGTATGGTGAACCAATAAGTTTGGGTATTGATTTGACATTCACAGCTGCCTGGCTGGCCCGGGTAATGTACCGTGAAGCAGTTTAGCGTTCATCTAATTCAAAGAAAACATATGATTGGAGGGTGATGTATGGAATTCCAATCAGTAGGAAATAACGACGAAGTTTCAAATGATATTCTGGGTGACTCGAAGGGACCAATCAGCATATATTAACATCTGAGACATGAACTGTAATTGGCTACGTGGAGTACGGTGATCTAATTAGTATGTGTTACGTGAGAAATATAAATTGTGATTGGTCAATTGATTTAAGGCAGACCAGACCAATCAGCCTTTGTTTACGATGAAGATTGAAGCTAATTGGCAACGCAATTTCCAATGGACCAATCGGTTTGACTTGACGCTCCATGAGTAAGTTTTTTGGCCAAATGCTGCATGGTGAACCAACCAGCTTATGTTTACGTTAGAGACAAATGATGATTGGGCAAGTGATGTATAGTGGACCAGTCGGTTTGTGCTTACGTCGGAGACATAATCTGATTGGACAAGTGATGTATAGTGGACCAATCGGCTTGTGCTTACGCGGGAGACATAAGTTGATTGGGCGGGTGATATACAGTGAAGGCAGTATTTCCTAAGGCGCAACCCAGGGAGTAAAAGTTGCTCCGTTTATTCAAAATCTTTTCGGTTTCTTCACTTGCTCTCTTTTTCTCTCCATAATTTTACTTTCCTTTTGGCAAATTTTTCAGGACATAATGAAGGTGATTCCTGTTTAATTTTCGATAGTGATATCAGCATTTTCTCCCGCCGGATATCACTACTCCCACCCGCGATGTCTTAAGTCCCCTCACCACCACCAGAACCACTCCCCTGGTCCTAGGAGGAGCAGGTGTGCTATGCTTTGATTCACAGGAACACTTTCTCACGAGGTTCAACATCACGAGTTTATGCTAAACGGAAGTATATTTTATTTTCTATCCCTACCCTTTCCTTCCCTGTCTCCCTTCTCTCTTTTTCCCCGTCCTCTCTTTCTCCTCCATCACCCCCATCTCTCTTAATCTCCTTTACTCTCTTTCTTAACCCCTCCTTACTCCACTCAGCACTTTGGCTAACACCGAACCAACACCTGGAGCTCCCCCAAGTTATATATTCATAAGCGCTTGCTAATCTTGCCTGTAACCCCCTCCCGACACCCCCACCCCTGCCTTCCCCACACCCCTATCCCTGCCGTTCCCTCCCAACCCACACCTCTATCCCTGCCCTCGTCCCCACTTCACAACCCCTCCCAGTCATCAACTCCACTCCACACCTCTATCCCTACCCTCGTTCCCATACCCCCGTCACAGCCCTTCCCACACCGCTTTGCAACTTTCTTGACGGCAGACATGCCAGACTGAGGGTAGGACAACACACAGGAGAGACCTTCCCACTCATGAGCGGAGTCCCTCAGGGGAGCGTCCTCTCCCCCACCCTATATATTATCTACACAAGTGACACCCCGCCTCCCACTAAAACAGGTAACGAAGATATTATGTATGCAGATGACATCACTCAAATAGCAACACATCAAGGAAAATCGCGAGCGTTACAGGTCGACAACACCAGGCGGGAATTAGAAAGGGTAAATAATTACGAAAAACAATGGAAAATCCAAACCAGTCTCCCGAAATTCACAGTGATACCCTTATGGAGAAGGAAAACCCATCCATTAGTAACCAATAATGCCCAGATAGAATACAAAAGCAGAGGCACCCGCCTGGGCCTGCATATATCCACGACAGGTTACTCCCATCATGTCCACACCAGGAAGGAAAAGGCAAGAAGAGAGCTGAGAAAACTATACCTCTTTAAAGCGCTTCCTGAGAAAATAAAACTCCTCCTGGTGACATCATTTATCATACCAATATTAACTTACCCAGCAGTACCTCTTCATACTATGAGCACCAATCAAATATTAAAATTACAGGTGGTCCAAAATGAAGCCCCAAGATTCGTCACAGGTGAAAGATACCCCTTCACCAGAACCACAGCCGAGATACATAGAGACCCATCAACCAGCAGCTGCACACCCTGGCCAGCAGAATCTGGCAAAAGATAGAACGATCAGAGCAAGAACTCCTCCAAAGACTCCCACCAGATAACGATAACAACCATACATGGTTCCCAAAAAGTTACCAAATCTCAAAAGGTCCATTACCCCCGATCTACACGGCCAGGCAATAGACAACCTCCCGAGACCAGCATCCGCCAGTAGGGTCGGCGGAACATGAAATAATGCCCTTAAAACACCCATATATGGACAGGGTAGGATGTCTAGGGCCCGTACCGACAGACAATAACTAACCCATGACACAACCCTAACACACTATTAGCTTAGCTAGGCGGTCAGCTCGCCGTCTCTTACCTCCTCTTAAATTTCTTCAATTTTCGAACTATAATTTCCTTCCCCCACCTCCAATCTTTTTTCACCCCTCTTTTCCCTACAAAAAAAAAATCCTACCCTCACCTCCACCCCACACCCCCTCCCTACCTTCACCCCCATCCCTGCTCTTAATCCTAACCCCGCCCCCGTCCCCCACCCCGAGGCGCCCCCCAGCCTTTACTTCTAAGTCATCACCCCCACAACTTGTCTCGTCTTCCCCTCTCTCACTAGTATTAAACAACAACAACAATAACAACAACATCCAGTAGTTTCTCACAGTACCACAACTCATAACTAACCTTAATCAACTACCAAACATTCCCTCATTACTATTTTGCTCTTACAACATTATCATCAAACATTCTCATTCTACATTCCATTCAATTAGCTTCTCAGCAACTTTGTTGGCCTTCTGTATCGTGGACGAGCGACGTTAAACACCACATGTAGTCCTGTTAATAACCTGGCAATTTAACCTCGAGATTTTAGGAGTTATATCAAAGGTTCAATGAAGGTGCGGTACTCTTTTTTGGAACGTGTGTATGTGTGTGTGCGCGCTCCCCTTAACCCCCTCCTCACTAACATAGGTCGTTCAGAAGAGTAAAAATTGCACACATAAAAAAAGAGCCACACATATAACCGGCCAAGTGGTTGACCTAAATCTTGTGGTGCATAAAAATTTATGTAAATGTGTTTCCAGGGTTAGACAAGCGGCAGTGTTTTCGTTGTAGGAAGAGGAGGAGGAGGAGGAGGAGGCGAGGGAGAAAGAGGAGGAGGAAGAGGTGGGGAGAGGAGGGGAGTAGGAAAAGGAGGTGAGGGAGAGGAGGAAGAAGTAGGGGGGCGAAGAGGAGGCGGAAAAAAGAAAGGGACAAACCCGGAAAAAGAAGAGAAGTAGAAGCCACAAGAAAAATGAAAAGCAGGAGTAGGAAAAAAATGGAGGACAGGGAGAAAGAGGAGATGGTGGTGGTGGTTGAGGAGGAGGAGGAGGAGGAATAGGAGGATGTAACTGGAGGGAAGGAAAGGGGGAAGGGAAGGATGGACAGACCCGTAATGAGGAGAGAGGAGTGATGGAAGGAGTGATGGAAGGAGGGAGGGAGGTTGAGGGGGAGAAGGGAGAAACATGCTCAAATTAAGGGAGGGAGCGAGGAGGAGGGAGGGGGGATGGAGGGAAGAGGTATGAACAGGAACATGTTCAAATTAAGGAAGACAGGGAGAGAGGGAGGGAGAGACAGAGGG